GGGGGGGGGGGGGAACGGGATGCAGTGCCCCCTTGCACATGTGTGACGGGAAGGGGGTCGGGGGGGAGTGCTCGAGAGCCGGCTTGACACGAGCAAAACGACGGTAGCATGACGCACCAACAGCGCAAAAAAATATCCTCGAGCGGTGATAACGGCGGTGAAGAACACACCAGTACCACCCGCCAAAACGGACAGCAGTGGCAACGACGATGACGATGGCAACATCAGCCCTAGCCTCAAGAATCGGCGTGCGCAGCATGCAATAGCAACGCAACACCAACACCAACAATCCAGCCCCGAGGCTCAACAGCAGCGACCAGAGCAGCAACAACGAACCACCAAAAACAAGAACACTTGCATGTTCAAAATTCGCCACAAGAACAACAACGCTTCAACCAAAACGGGCAACAACACAGCAACACGTGTACCGAAATGTTCAACAGCGCCAGCCCCAACAGCCACCATCACGATACCAACAGCGGTCCACAGGCATTACCTTGATGTGGTTCACCAGGGACCCCGATCCCCTCGGTATGACGAGATCGATCAGGTGGTCGAGCTTGAGCAGCTCTCCCACCGCGGCCCTAGACGTGACCAGACCGATGCAGTCCCTGGGGACCCTGCCTTTCGACCCCTCGGCAACCGCGTCCACGATGATCCTGCCGCAGAAAGCAAAGCAACAAATAAACGCCCAAAAAAAAAACGCACACACCGTCAAGGTGGTATATACACCCCACGGTGAAAAACCCGCACGTTGAAACCGACAGAGCGAAGATAAACAAAAATCGTATGATTGGGCGAGTATTCACAGTCCCGGGCACAAGACTACCTCAGGGTCGGTCGTCAACCGACCTTGCGAAATGCGAACCACACCCCTCGCCACCAACAAGAAGATGAGAACTGTTCTGCAGCCTACAGAAGATGCCCTCCCATCCCTCCAAACTCTCCAGACCCCCCCCCCCCCCACCCCCCAGACGAAGGTCGACCTACATGCCTGACCACCCCCCGTCCCCCCAACAAGAAAAGCATTTCTCTGAACACCTCCCAAGACCCTCCCTCCCCCCGGACAAGGACCCACCTATGCAAGCATGCGTTCGAGTGCTCGGCCTCCTTGCCCCCCTTGAGCAGCAGGCCGTTGCCCGACCGTATCGCGAGGGAGGCGATCTGGGGGAGGGAGTCCGGCCTCGACTCGAACACGATCAGCAGCACTCCGATCGGGGATGTAATCTAACAACACGAAACAACAACAGCGACAGCAGCGAACCAAAGCATGGGCATTTCGTGTGTGCACATTGCTTACTCGTTGTCATGTTTTCGGCGGCGACCATTAAACAACGAACAGCAGCAGCAGCAGCAGCAGCAGCAGCGGCAGCAGAATCAGAAAAACAAAGTACGGGTGACGTCGTGTGTGCAATGTTCTGATTCTGCGCTGAATTTTCACGCCACCCGAGAAGAGCATTCCTTTTCTATCTTGGTCTGGAGATGCGTAGTGGTCTCTTTCTCTCTCTCTCTCTCTCTCTCTCTCTCTCTCTCTCTCTCTCTCTCTCTCTCTCTCTCTCTTCCTCTTTCTCGCTGTATATGTCTCTCTCTCCCCCCCCCCCCCTCCTTTCTCTCTCGCTCTGCTTCTTTAATAGTTGGATTTCGTTTGGGTTAGGGACAACACCGTACCGTACTGTACTGTACCGTAGTGTACCTGCTTGAGGACAAGGCCCTCCTGAACCTCCAGGCGGCTGTTGCACTTCGACAGGGGTTCCTCTCCGTCCGCTAAGGACGTTATGCCCTCCGCCAGCACCTTGATCTTGTCCTGCCGTGCACGCGAAAAACAGAATACAGCAAGAGCGCCGATGACGGGTGATGACGTATGTGCGATGTGCGAGGTTGGCAGTGATAATATGTACGAACGCGGCATCTGTTGCCATTCTCCGTGAAGCCAGAAAAAAGCGATGAGTTGCATCGCCAAGCTGGTCCGAGTAAGCTGGTGAACATTCTTCGAATATTCTTCCTCTTCTTGAATCTGTCTCTTCCGGTATGCCTCCGGCTCACTGCTCACAAATGTCATTCACCATGATAAGCGTATCCCTCCTCCCCACACACAGTCAGGGCAATGCTTGCGCATATCCTGCACAACCAATCGATGGCCGGATAAGCGCATCAACCCCACACAAGCCGAAAAAACAGAGAGATGAGGTTGAATATTTCCGAAAGGTTTCACTCTTTGGCCGTTCTTACAATAGTACCCGCAAAACAAAAATAACAGCGTGTTCTACGTTGCCAAAGTTTCCTTGAGGAAAGACAACGCGATGATAGCAAAGATACGGTCGTAGCGGAAGTGATGTCGATCGTGGGGAAAAAAGAACAGCCAAAGTCCAGAGTAGCCACAAGTCGTGATATGATTGATACCTAAGTCAGCCTGAGGCGGAAAAAAACAGCCAAAGTCCAGAGCACCACGCAAGTCGTGATATGGCAGATACCTTGGTAAGCTTCAGGCGGTTGAGGAGGGCGGGGGCGATGTTGTTGGCCTTAGCGGCCTTGATGTCCCTCTCGTTGGCCACCGTGATCTCCGGAGATTTGGCCAGCAGGGCCTCGGCCACTTTCCGAAGGATGCCAGCTCTCTCCTCACTTTTTCAACACAACCAAAAGGACAAAAAAACGACATGGAGAAAAAAACGAGAAAAAAACACAGAGGGAAAAAGCCCGGTTTTTCACTCAAGCGGGCAAGTGGGGAATGCGGAACCAACCGTTTTGGACAACCGTCGGTTATCTTGGAAAGACAAAAAACACAAGACGGGAATGCACGCACATCAAGAGAGGCGGACAAATAGCGGCCCCGTGCTGGGCCCCCTCGACGCCAAAGCGAGCACACACCCCTGCCTTAGGTGACACAACAAACAAAAAGTACCACACATCCCGTGGACCGATTTTCCAAGCGCTCGAATTCTCCACAACGAAGAGGATCCCAATATGAAACGATGGGTTTTCGGAAAGCTCTCGACGAGAAGGTTCCGACGCCTCCCGCCATTTTCGGCACCGCCGCTGTGGAGTTATCATCGACCTTGGAAAATCGGTCCGGGGCGTGTGGTATCTTGTGTCGCCTATCATACGGTATTACACCCTCCCTTGCGCGCACGGCAGACCTACTCGCCCAACAAACCAACCGCTACCCACTGCTCGAAATCAGGTTTGGTTGCCATGCTGTCAGCTTTGCTGCGGTATCTGCTGTCAACCCTCAACCTAAGCTCGATGTTTGGCAGCAGCGTGAGAAATTCGACGATCGATAGCCACTAGCGACGGACGAGTTCCATCTTAACCCCAGGCCCTCGATGTTTGGCAATAACATGAGAAAATTCAACCGTCGGCAGCTATTAACGACGGACTCGTCCAGAGCCGGGGTGCGAAGCATTGGTGCTGTGTTCATCACTTGATCCCATCTCCACCAATATCTCGGCAGTGGTCACAATTCACACTCCGCAGTGGCAGGTCACAAACCAGACACGGCCAGACACCGTGACTAAGGGCTAAGATGGTGTTGGCGACGTCTTGTGGCGAATAGAAGCAGCAAAATCAGTCAGTCGTAGCAGGAGTGCATCGCTTGCGCGTAGAGAGGTCGGAGCCCCCCCCCCACACACATGAAGATACATACGCCGGTGGAACGGACGTACATACACATATAGCGTTGGGAGCATTCTCCTTGACCACCCGCGTGTAGAAACAAGCCATCATGAAAGCCTGTTGTATGTATCAATCGTTACACCCAGAGGACACAACAGTCACCCTCTCTTCATCTCACCTGTCCAACGCGCAGAGTGCCCTCCCGCCTACCCTGGCCATCTCCGCCTGCCTGACGATCATATCGTCGGCGTCTTCCTCGTCGTCGCTGTCTTCGTACAGACCCGGGTTGGCGCAGAACATGGTGCCCACCCTGTTTCGAGACACGCCGTGTCGTTCGTGTGAACGCAGTTGCAGACCATTGGCAGGTAGAACAACCACAGCAACAGAACAAGAGGGATAACAACAACAACAACAACAACAACAACAACAACAACAACGTTTGGCGGCCAGAACAAACGCAGAACCAAAACAACAACAACGTAGATAGCAGCCTGTACTCGGTGACTGAATGTCGTCAGTGTGAAGGTACAGTAGTTGTAGACCATTGGCGACCAAAAAAACGCAGCTGCTAAACAACAGCAACAGTAACAACAACAACAACAACAGCAGCAACAAGAAAGACAGCAACAACAACAACAACAACAACAACATCGACAACAACAACGGCATGAAATACAAACTACGGCCTTGCACTTGCATCACACTGACCTCTCGCCACAGACGATCCTTTCTATGGAGTAGGGGTTGAGGCCGCTAGCGATCACAACCGAGGGGACCCCCCCAGACACGGCGCGAGAGGCGGCTCGGATCTTGGCGCCTGCATGGCACGACAAAAAAAAAAAAAAAGGGAACCAATCACGTGGCGGAGCACAGACAACGTCAAGACTTCCGGTTGCTACTTCCAGGCGTTTCGTTTAGGCGCCCTCTTCCGGAAACCTTGGGATTATTTCTTGTTACACTTCTTGATACTTTACTCTTACAAAAACAAACCGAATTTGTCTCGATCCACACAACTGAGTCCAGGGCACATTTGCACATGTGCCTTCCGATCTACTCAGGAGCATGCGTTATTAAGAACTTGCTGGACATTTTGTAGGCACTTTTCTTTGTTTATCGGTTCGTGTCCCTCCCTTAATTCATTGCAGGGTGAAACAGGTGAGTGACCTAGGGATGGCTTTTGCCGTTGTTTTCGGTACTTGGCTCTTCCGCTCGCGTCAAACAGAAACAGTTGCCACTCTGCATGCGCCAAGCCAATAGATGCTGTCAGCGGGGACAGATTTGGACCAGCTAAACAAGCACAGGTGTAATGCCCATCCGGTGCTCCCTTCATCCAAGGTTGTGTTCCTGTTCCTACACAAGCACAGAGACCAACACATTCGGGGCAAAGCCAAAGGTAAGCAATGAGCAGTAAACAGCCTGTAAAGTTCGCGACACGGTTGGGTGTTGCGGCAAAAGTTGTAAGCACGAGATCGTACCATAGCCGTCTAAAAGCGCAAGTGGCAGCACAACAGCTGCATGCCTTGCGCTTTGGTGGTCGGTGTGCAGTGGGGAATGTTGTTGGAGACCAGCGCGTGCTATCAGCCACACAACAAAAAAACAAGGCGAAATGTTTCGCGCTCTGTTTTTAGTTTGCCCTTACCCATGCCCCCGCGACCGCCAGCGCTCTTCTCGCCGATCATGAGCTCGTGCCGGTTGGGGTCGAAAGTGTGGAAGATCTGATCGAAAGAGAAAGAAAGAGCTACCACGTTAGCGAGACGCATTTGAAGCGAGCAAAACAAAAAAACTATCCGAAGGAAGGTAAAACAAAATGACGAAAGGAACAAGATGGCACCAAGTACGACAGGGGGACACCGGAAGGGAGAGGTCGCATGAACTAAAATAGCACCGTTACGGGTCCAACGTGTGGCACAGATAAGGCGTTTACGGAGGACACAGGCCACGAGATACAACACGATACACAGCGACTGATGTACACTATGCACCCCCCGACGCGTAGACTACAGATAACGCCCGCACATAAAGTAAGGCCGCGGTGGAATTGGCAGCTCTCCTCTTAAACAAAAAACGGGAAACGCCTGCATATCTTGGTTTTCCAAGGTCGAACTCCAGTGCGAATCTATCATCGCACAACCGACTTGGAGGCAACAGGGTCCAAGCATTCTCATCCTGTTGAAACGACGATTGTCGAGCAGGCTTTTTCGCTGGAGAAGCCAGACCGCTGTTACCCGCGGAGTCCAACTCTCGAGACACAGCTACTACTTGTATGCCACACGGACGCAGACAAGGTCGATGCCGACTACACAGGCAAACGCCAGCAGCACGCACGTTGGAGGGAAAAAACGAGACCGACAACAGAATACAGCATGCCTTCGACACCGACAATCGTACAGCGTTCGCGCATATGTGCCACCCCAACCTACTGATTGCTTGATGGCTTGGTGTCAGGTTGTGCATGGTCCCGGGTTAAAAGTGGGTAAACGATCGGCATGCTCCTTCCGACTCTCTCAATCGTAGATGTCGTAGATGTCGTAGATTTACCTTTGCCCCTTCCTCGTCGGGGTGCTTATTGTAGACGCCCTCCACATCCGTCAGCAGGATAAGCATCTTCGCGTTCATCTGCGTGGGGAGAGCATGTGCGCAAAATAGTCCATTCGAGCGGAGGGTTGTTGTTGCACTTGTTGTTGTTGCTGTTGAATACTGCTGCAGAAGTTGTTCTCGTTCTTGTTGCTGCTGAGCAAACGCAAGGATGGTGACCGGTCTGGTCCATCCATGTGAAACGTAGATAGCCTGGGGCGTCGAACACCCGGCAAAAATATCACTCCCCAGCATGCGAGGTCAACGGTCTACCGACTACGGCGTGAGGTTTTCATGAGAGAGTACAGCGTAGTAGTCCGGGTACGTGCCAGCCCGCTTGAACCGGCAAAACCCCCCCGCAAACAACAGCTCGAATTTTCCATCTGTGTCACGCGATTTCACCGGCACTAAACAGGGCCGGATAAATAAGGCTGCCTGCCCTAGAGAAATCGCTTGGCACGGATTAAGTAATCAAGTTTTCTCGTGCTCTGAACAGTGCCGGGTGCCCGGCTTAACGCCTGCGCTTTGCCTTCGACCAAAGCGGCCTTACATCGGGCCAGTAGTCTACGCAGGTTCTTGTAACCAAAGCAATCATACTTGATAAAGTACAGAATCGGCTAAGCTGGGGTTAGGGTCTGCGTGCCCCCTGGCTGGTCATTTTTCGAAAATATACCTAACATGCTCTCTTTGCGGAGGCAATCCTACCGGGCCCCCTACTGCACGGTAGGCCACCCCCCCTCCCTCTCCCCCCCCACCTGTTCCGCCACCAGCGCGGCCAGACCATCGTTGTCGCTGAACATGCCGTCGGCCTCGTACCCCTCGTTTCCCGAAACAGCATCGTTCTCGTTGAGGATGGGAACGACGCCGAGCTTGAGCATGGTGGAGGTGGTGTACCGGAGGTGGCGACGCCTCTCCGGCGTGCGGAAGTCGAACTCAGTCACCAGCAGCTGTCGCCGGGATGAGACATGCGGCGGCACGGGGCGTGTGTGCGCTATTAGCATTGTGTGTGTTTTCATGATTAGCATCGACCGCGCTAACCGGCTGACCAATGAAAAGATGCCAGTCTCAGTTCGGCTGAAAACACAAATGTGTGTGTCTGTGTGTGTTTCCATCATTAGCATCGACCGCGATAACCGGCCGACCAATGAAAATATGTCAGTCTCAGTGCGGTTGAAAACACAAAACACTTCTAAATGCCATGAACTGGTGTGTTGTGTGTGTATCCATAGCCGTGCGCTTGCCGTATTCGTTAGACCGTTGACCTCGCATCCCTACAAAGCCGGGACGGCTGGGCTGGGGTGTACTCACGTAAAACGCATGCCGTATTCTCTAGACCATTGACCTCGCAATGCGGAGGCGGGGGGGCAGTTAGCTTGACAGAGAGCGCGAGGATAGATTCCGGAAGGTACGAGTGCATCGAGAAGAGAGCGCCCCGTCTTGAAAAACGATTTTCAGTGTAACGGGACTTCTACAAAGGGTAGACGTCGGCGGCAGGGTATGATCCCAAGACGGTATGGTCGGGAATACAATTTGATTAGCCAGAGAGGACATTCTCGGACTTGGCCGGGCAAAAACGGGCGTCGGCCAATCAGATCGGTTTACAAATACGCCGCATCAACCGCCGCATCAACCGTACATTGGTGCACCTAGGCGGGTCTTCGTTTGACCACCAAACATGATGATGATACCTCCCACATGCCTTCATTCTTTGTAACGCGCAATGCATGCACATGTACGCTTTTTCTCTGTTGCCCACAAGGCGAAGTTGCTGATCGGCCAAAAACATCAAGGGTTGTCGAAGTCGGGGAATGGCAAGAAGAGCGACCACCTCCATCTGACCGACCGCGTCTATCATTGATCGGACCGGGCGACGAACACCACACCCAAACCTTAGAAGCTAGGAGGAACTGCTGAAAATATATATGCGGTTGCGGTATATGACAAAGAGACCACCCTGTTCTCGTCCTAATCGGTAGTATTCTCTACCATTGTACTGTACACTCGCGTTTTGCCCGGTGATCCCCACAACTTTTCCTTCCGTGGTGAATGCTTTGCCTCCAATGCTTCAGCGGACACCAAACAAGCATCGTGAGGAAGGGGGACAAGCCACGCAAACACACAGACACCTCACAAGCCCCGTGCACGTTCACACAAACTAAAGAAGGGGGGGGGGGGGGAAGCAAGTCTCAACTCTCGAGGGCATCTCGGGGGAATCCGTACCGTTACATTACATGCGTCCGGGCACGAAAATCGAGGTATCTTCATGCATTTGTTGCCTGCAACAGAGAGACACTCGTGCTCGCCAGCAAGCACCTAAACAGACGCCCACCTGGCTCGTCGCCACATCGCACTGCGCGAACAGAGTCTCGTAAAGCGACATCAGGCCGAGCTGCCCAGCCGCCGCACAAGCGCTGTCGTAGTTTCTCCGCCCGGTTCCCTTCGGCACCTGCGTTCCGGTTCGGGAGGGTTTACGACTTAATCCCTCCGCCCGGTTCCCTTTGGACCCCTATTTTCGGTTCGGGAGGGGCTACGACAACGACATGACTCCTCCGCCCGGTTCCCTTTCGCCCATTCAGTTCCGGTTCGTGAGGGGTTACGCCAACGGCATGATTCCTCCACCCGGTTTCGTTCTGTGCCGGGCTGTTACTTGAGTTGGTCACGGCAAGGCTCATCGATACGACAAGAATGCAAGGTTTCGGGCTCGGTTGAACGTACAGTCCGCGAAGCCCCCTTCTAGGTCTACATTCGGGTTACGACCAAGGTTCTTCGGAGATTGCACCATCTCGCCCGTTCCTACGCCCGGCGGCGTTCGTAGATCGCAGAGCCTGCTCGGCTGTATGGGGTCCTCCAAGGTCGGCGGAAGCGATGCTGCTGCCCGGTTTTACGGGGTCTTCCGTCCCAGCGCCCCGGGATCGAAACCTTTCCTACACAGACATGCCTCGTGATATGTATCTATGCTAGCATTCAAGTCCGACGCTCGCTTACCTCCGCGTGGCCGTCCAGCACTGCTCCCATGCTGGTGTGAAGCAGCTGCTGCTTGCGAAGCAACTGTGACGCGCAACACGGACATGCGTACGAACAAGAGGGAAGGGCGATTACCGCTTGCTAAGGGCGTTTCCAACAGGTGTGCTTGACTCGCACTGGAAAAAAATCGACAAAAAGCGCTTCATCGCCTTCACAATGCCCACGCCAACAATACT